TCATTAAGAAAAGGTTTTGGATATTTTTTATAGTTTCCAAAAAACTGGTTTTCCACACAGACGCTCTCTGAAAACCTAAGGGCAGCTGGTATGGTGATATTTGGAATTAGGGTAGCCAATAATCTATGACCTAGTTGAAAAAAGATGTTTTTGTCAACTAATTTTGCGGTACTACGGGTTTTACGGGGGTCTGCCGGGAAAATCTGAAAATCTTACGAGGTCTGCCGGGAAAATCTCTTCGGAAAAATTTACTTTCTACATGGATAAACGTCCTACGAGCTGCTCTTTCCAATGGTGNGCGTTTTGTTCACTCATCTTATTTTCAGAAATATATAATAGATGCTTGTGTGGTAATAACATTTTTCCTTAAAACGAAGTGGATCAGATTTTATATTGAAAACAATCGTTTTCGTTAAAGCGTGACAAGACATTTAGTAGAAAAGTAGGGACAAAAACTCCGTGAGTTCCATTTTCCGAAACGAAAACGATACAGGACCTTTTAGGATGGCCTTCTATTAGGGGTGGCTTTCTAATCCGACTTTACAACCGAAAGCTTCTAAACGTTTCCAAACTAGTAAAAAACTTAAAATAATAATTTTCTTCGTCTCACAATAGTAAAGTAATTGGTGCTCTAGGGTACTCAACAATTGAGAACCCGAGTTTTAAACTGTCTCTACATCTTCGAAGCTTTGCAAACAGAAAACAGTCATGTGAAAGTTCGTTAAACTAATTACGTAATGAATCACTCTACATTGTTCATACTGAATGTATGTGAAGGTCACATGATAATTCATCATCTCGTAGAAAAGCTATTGAAAATATGTTCAACTTTTGAGATTCAGTACTTAATAATTAAAACATCTGTCGAAAAAATAACTTTAACCGTTTCATCTACAGCTAATGCACTGTTTCTGTATATATTTATTCAAAAATAACAGCCATTTGACTGACTTTGATAAACTGGTCTTTTTAGTGCCTACACTTAACTTTTGTTTCACACAGATTGAATACTATGTGAGAAAAATTTATTAATAACGCATTTTTCCTGCAAAAGTCGAATGAGAAATATTCAATCTTTTTTTCTACCCTAAACAAGTTATATTTGTTAACCAATGAAATGATGGAATAGAAAGCGGAACACATATAGCACAACAGCGAACTAAAACTAATTTTTCAGTTTAACAAAGAAAACGAAGAACGTCATCTATCAAGGAATATAGGAAACCTAACACCATTACATCCACCTTCAGTGCAAGTGACGAGATCTATATCATCTTGTGCGGATTTTACCAAACTTGTCATGTCTCTACTGACCAAAAGACTCAACGTAGAACCTTGAATTTGACCTCAAATGAAACAAAAAGTCGAGTTCTATATGAATAATAAGGTAAACATTTGTTATACGACAGAATTTTGAGAAAATTTGATTACTGTTTCTTCGATATTAAAGTTTAAACCAATTTTGAGGAAAGGATTTCTGAATAATCCGATTTTCTAGAAAACTTATCGGATACAAAATCCATCTGGTGAACTTTTTGGCTATACCAGCTGATAGCTCGGTCAATTCTCTACAAAATGAGACGTCAACCAAGTTTCTGGGATGGGTGGCTGAGTTACAGGCTTTTTATGATCAGTAACTTATATTCTTCCAACATTTTCACCTGGCATGCAAAATTTTACCTTCGTTCTCAACAGAGCATCGTAGAAACTTGGTTGACATCTCATTTCGTAGACAATTTAACAGGCTATCAACTGGTGTAGCTGAAAAGGTGCAGAAGCTGATTTTGTGTCCGTTAGATTTTTCAGAAAACAGTAACTCGAGACTAGGAGGTCTTAAATAATTTTTTTTTTCACTGAAATATATCAAAACGAGATCTTTTACTTAAGACGAAGCTCAACTTTCCACGTTTTATGTCAAATCTGCTAGAAAACGATGAAAAATGCACTTTTCCGCCTGGAGAGTAAAATGCGTATAACTTTTTTTCGGCGAAAGTTATAGACTCGCGGTTTCCACCACTCTATTCATCTCGTCGAGATCTACCAGGGAAAGTGTATCTCGTCATCTATAGTGTATGTCGATGTAATTGATGGTATGTGTCATATGGATTAACCCTGAGGTAATGTGTCACCCTTTTTAAAGCGTCGAACTGACGGATACGTCCACAGTACCCATGGTTTCTTATAAGAAAGGATATAACAGAATACAGGGACTATTTCTTAAAACTATTTTGAAAATCGTTCTACCTTCTGTGCTGAATGTCTTGGATTTTGTGGTGCTTTGAAATCAAACGTTTTTAAATAAAAAAGAATCGCAGAGTCAATCTGGTATCATATTTCTTCGATTTCGTCTACAATTGACAATAGAACTAATTTGTATTCATTTTGGTTACCATCAAAAACATTGTAGTCTATTCTGAAACACGTCTATTATTATTTTAATTCAGATGAATTAAATTCATTTGAAAGTAGGCGAAAAGCAAAAAGTCAGATAAACATTAAGCTACTGTCGTTCTTATCGAATCGAACTTCAGATAAAAAATAAACAATATTTTATTTAGTGTTAACAGATTAAATTCGGTGGGTTTGTATTGAAAAAAAGATGCATTGTTGTGAAGCCACCAGCATCTGTATAACGTTTTTCGACGCAGGTCGGAACGGGTTTCAAAAATGACTAGAAAAATAACAAGGGAAAAACTTTTCAATTATAAAAAGACCGAAAGCTGAAAAGACTCACGGTAATGGCAGCAAGCGGAGGAAGTTCTGCTCGGTTCGTGTATACAACTTTTTGAAAGATAACCCAACCAAGTGCCGTTAATTTTCCTCTATTGTATAATAAGAACGCTGGAAAGAATGTGTCACAATCCGCATCTAATTTGTTATCGTACCAGTAGTGGACACCCATAGATGGAAAACAAGTTCCTTTAATCCATTTTGTGTTGACAGTATCTTTTTCAAATAATGGTACTGCGACAGAGCTAAGCGGAGTGGAACCATTTTGAAACCATAATCCAGTACCAACACCTTCACTGTCAAGACGAGCTAAAGTTCGACCTGTCGTACAAATTGTATCTAAAAAAACAAGGATATTTGAAAATTGAATGTTTTAGGAGGAAGTTGCCTAATGAAGTGCGCTCACTTGGATCGACAAAATATGCAGTTAAGAGATAAACAGGAATTCCGTTAATATTATCTCGGTTGAACATCGGTTGTCTATCAAATGAATAAAATTTACTATTGACTAGTGAAATAGGTACCTAGAAAAGAGCAGTTACATTTATGAGAAATAACAGGACTCTACGAGTTAGAAAATAAGTATACTTACAGCCATTTGGACACCGGCAATTGTCCCTTGCACGTCATATAACACTATAAGTCCTGAATCATTGTTTTTCATGTATCGGTTACCCCGTGTCATGCCTGATAATTAACAAACAAAAGTTATTGTATTTTTCAACTCATAAAAAAATAAATCATGCTAGCTCATTAACTACAAAAGTAACGAAGTCAAGAGATCGTTCCATTTTCACCGCTTTGGTACCAAAATTAGCTCGCTTGTCTATCAGATTTGAAGTACGCGTCCTATTTGATACGGTACCATACATCACTCTTTTAAGAGTGACGATGTGAGAAGCGTTAGTATCCGGGTATACTCCCAAAGTCTAGCATCGTTCGCCACGAGACAGTAGTTGATTAGATCATTCTGAAACTTAAACTATCAGAACACAAAATCAATCCTTGCACGAAGCGAGAATCGAACACAGGAACTTGATCTTTGCGGACGAACTGCAAAAATCAACTTCGCTGTTCTTTCCTACCCAAGTAAAAATCGTCTATGGAGAGGAGCTAGCTTCAACACAGACGTAACCAGACGGTTATCTACGACGCGGAGCTAGGTAAATGTACCTTTTTACTTACGTTAGTTAGCTAGCTCAACCTAGTAATAAATCGAGCACTAGGTTATCATATCGAGTAGGAGCAGGAGGTTGGCATCTAGGTTAACCGCCCAGTTAACCGACCGCTTAACCTAGCTCCGAAGACGAAAAATATTTAATAAGAGGAAGGTGGTCAGCTAGAAAATAGGAACGCCCGGTTAACTGGGCGCTCCAACTTCCCAGTTAAGCTAGCTTAAAAAATAAGAAAAAAAGGATATGTGCTTAACGAGAATCGAACTCGCCGACTAATGCGCCATCAGAATTGAGATAGAAGTACTCGACGTTTTAACCAACTAAGCTACCAGGCACATATGTAGTAGTCGATAAGTGATGAAATCATTGAGACGATATTTTAGAGATTGGTGTTTTACGTATCAAAGAAATATTTTTGAGAGTTGAGTCTGGAACACAAAACGTAGCAAATTTATTTTGCTAAATTTCATCTGTTGAGACCAGATTTTTAGAAATCATTCTTCATGGTGAAAAACAGTAAATATCGTTTTTCACTGTGAAGATTGATTTGTACGAATTTGACCCCAGCAGATAAGAGTTACGAAGTTGGATTTGCCACATTTTGACCATGAAACTCAATTTTGAGAAACTCTCACTTCACTGTGAAAAATCAGAAAATAGCCATTTGGGGTATATTTATGATTTTTCATCATGAAAAACGATTTTTAAAAATCTGGTATCAACAGATAAGATTTAGAAAATTCAATTTCCTATATTTCATGATCGAGATCCAACTCTCTCACTTGAAGAGATACAATCCGGAAATAAGTTGTGAGTTTTTTAACAATAGACATATCAAAGAGTTTTAGGCTAGGCAGATCTCAACACGTCTTTGACAATTTGAAACAGTGTATCATAATCTGAAACAGATGCTGTACAATATTATCCGATTTCCTGTGATTTTCAGACAAAATAATTCTCTATAGGATTATATCAGTTTTTACTGTAATAGAGTCTTAACTGATTAGTCAACATCGACTATATCATCGAAGTCACAGCTTCAATGGTCGCATATTACACGATCATACTAAATTTCGTTAAAGATCATGATCTTACCGGGTTACCTACCTATTCCACCAAGACGCATAGATTTCGCTTTACAATGTTTTCGATCATACACAGGACCTCAATAGCCTCGAAATCGCATATAGAAACGTCCTTCAGCTACATGTACTTTATTTATGTATGGCTGGTATCTCATGTTGGGCCAATGAAACAAACAAGGTTTCTTATAGAACAGGAGATTCTATACATAATTTCACAGTATATGCATCTACTGTCGTAAAATTTGTACGGTTATGATATACTGTTTCAAATTGTCAAAGACGTGTTGAGATCTGCCTAGCCTAAAACTCTTTGATACAACCTCCCTCTATCTAACATATTTCTTCTTTTACCTAGCTTGACTGAACGGTTAACCGATCGGTTGAAGCTAGCTCCACTAACAGCTAGTTGGGTCGATCGGTTGACTGCCCGGTTAACCTAGTGGGCAACCTGCCATAATGTGAAGAGCTAGCTTAACCGTTCGATCCTATGTTGGACTACATATTGAGAAGCTAGCTCACCCGGGTCGGAAACCGATCTACCTAGCTTAACTGCCCATTCCTAGCTCATTTTTTTTTGCTTGGGTATATTCTGCACAACGACTGGATGTTTTCCTTCAACGTATATTTTTTTGTTGTGATTTTTGAAAAGCGCAACACTTACCATTGCACGAACCCGGGATTTTTGTATATTTCTCTTCGACTGCTTTGGTGACCGTTTTTGGTTGCTTGACGAAATATTCTGACGATAGTGGATTCGGACCCCATGTTGCCGCAAGTTCCTCCCACTTTGGGTCTGTATTTGAACGAAAGAACAATCCATGACCTTAAAACAGGAAAAAACGTTTTAACCTAAATATCCGAAAAAAGTCTTATAGTCTTGATACCAGCTGAAACACAAAACAATACTAAAATGATAGACTTCATATTTGGTAACTCGTTTTTTTATGAATATAAATACCCTCTTAGTGCTATTGTTGGTCGCGTATAAATAGTCTATATCTTGTTGTTGTTATTTGACAGTGATTGACCTTTGTATAGTGACAAATGCTGAGGACATACTATACGATAATTAAATTTCAAATAGTACAAAAATCATTTTCTTTTGTAAAGCTATCTTTTTTACTTGTAACAAATCAAAATATGTAATATGATCATTGTGCCCTTTTCAAGGATAGGAACATAATAGGATTTGATCATTCAATAATTAAATTAAATAGAATGTAATGTGGTATCAATATGTCAGCTAGGCTTTATTCGTTGAAAGACATTAAACAGTTATGTACGTGGTGCTAGTCAATTAGAGAAGGGCAAAGTGTGTGGTACGACTGTCTTTTGTACTACTCTGGTGAAAGACTTTGGTGCTTGCGCAGCAAACAAAATCGAAAACATTAAAAAGCTGGGATCTTAAGGCACATCAAATCTAAGTAAGGCTAAACGTGAATTTCTCTAAATGGTTTTATCTTATTTCCATATACGCAGCATTAGAAAAGTAGTTTTACAACACACTGATCTCTTTAAGAAAAATAACAGAGCATCGAAATACATGAATGTGAATTGTTTAAGATGTTTGAATGAAAACTAAAAAAAGGTTCCATGTTCTTCAACCCAAGAGCGGAGTGTTCCAGGTCTAGTTCATTAGTGTAAACAAAGTGTCTAAAGACGACTTGACGAGTCCCTAGTCTCAATCCTGTTCATTCCTTCAGAAACCCTGGAAAGATCTTTCAGGGTCCTGAATCTCCAGGATCTTGTTATAGTTATATCAGAGGAAGATCTTATCAAGAAGATAGCAGGATCAGTTACAATCATAAACGTATAAATCTTGCTAAGCTTTGATCAGGATCCTTTTTCAATTCCGATTTATTCTTGTTATCCTAGACCTTTCCAGGATCCTGCGCGGAACTCTTCAGGTATAAGCATTTCGAATCCTTATACAACAATACCAACCATCATCAGGATCTTGATGAGGAAATACAAGGATCTAGTTAAGATCTTTGCAGGTTTGTGTTTAGAGTGTATTCCCTAGACAAAATCCTATGCACTTCTTATCTGTTTCCTACCAGGATCTGAAATGTTAGGCTCCTACCAGGAATCTGGAGCAGACCCTAATAATTTCCTGACAGGATCTGGGATGTTAGGCTCCTACCAGGAATCTCAGATCCTAACATTTAGGATCCTGCTAGGATTTTGTTTCTTAATGAATAAGGATAGTTATAATCTCAGGTTGAAGTAATAAATGTATACGCGCCATTTTTAAATGCTTTAGAGTTACAAAGAAATATTTAGTAACTTTTGGTCAAATAATGAGAACGGATGGAGAAATTTCACGAGAGATAGGAACATATAAGCAATCCTATGAAATTCGTGTTCAAGAATTATCTTTTCCTACTAAAATCCTAAATAATTCCTGCTACATTATGATTCAGTTATCGCATTTTCTTGCTAGGATCCTAACAGAATCCTGGCAAATCCTACAACTTTTCGGTATACCTGACTTCTTTACGATTCTGTAAGATTTTCCTAGGATCATACCAAAAAGCCAGCTAAATCCTGGCCGGATTTCTCCAGGATCCTGTCAAGAAATGTATAGGTTTCTTACCAGAGAAGTAACATAAGAGAGAAAATGGTTACAAATGCAAAATTATTACAAAACTCTCAGTTTTTCAAGAAAAATATTTACACAATTTTCCGGTTCAGGTGTGGCATCGAAGTTCCTGAGAGTCCCAAGATCAATATTTCTTTAGATGTGGTAATTCCGAAAACGGAGAAACTTCTGAGACTCTGCGACTCTAAAATACTGCAATTGTGAAATTCTAAAGATTTCTCAAATCCGAGAATGCTGTTAGTCGAAAGTTTTGACATTTTAAACATTTCTCAATTCTTATTTTGTATGCTCCTTCGAATGAGACATGAATAAAATAAAATAAATTCACCTCCGAGCAGTAAGCTCTGCAGTATATGTTGATAGTAAAGTTAACGAAGCCTAAGAGTAAGTTTTATAAGCTTAGTGTAAGGCTTTTTCATAGGTCGCGACTATGCTAACCAACGTATCAGAAGCGTTAAGACGAACAATGTTAACGGTTCTTAACAGTCGACGTTGATCAACGTCAGGTTCTCGCAGATGTTGACCTTGTGAATGGTTGAACGTAACTAATTTCCATTTTATTAGCAAATGTTATATATTCGGCACGGCTATCATCTCATAAGCTGAAGACAAGATTGTATATCATAGTTTAGCACAGTAATATTCTGACCGCTTGGAGCAGAATAAATTAGACTGTTTGTATTTTCAAATTTTCTCCTCTTCCTTACACTGTAGTGGGCTAGTTCTTTTACCAAAAGATTTCCTGTTGAATTCTCTATAAGAAATGTATGAACTGTTTGGTTGCAAAATCTGAAGGTGTAAAATGCCATGAGAAATGGTGAAAAGTACTAAAATGTTGAAAAAATAAACGTATCTTCTCAAAGAAAGCGAAGTTTCGCAAAAAATAATGAAATTCCTACGCCCTTAAATTTAACTGAAAATTGTTTAAATTACAAATGGAATCTAGAGCTTTTCAAAAAACTAGCTCAATCAAGTGTAAGGAGGAGGAGAAAATCTGAAAATATAAATAGTCTAATTTATTCTGCTCCACTCGATATTTTGAGATTGAAAACTGAGTTTCAAATAAAATTTATATGGATATAGAAAAATGCAGAATAGAGAACGGTAATAAGAGTGATGAGGATGAGCATCAGGTCAATTCCTTATCCTCTAAGAAAGCATTTCGCTATTTTGTTTGCGATTTTCTGCAAAAAAAATAAGGTCAAAAAAATCCTAGAATTTCAAGTGGTTTTGAATTTTCCAGGAGAATCTTTCCAGATCATTTTTAAGGCTTTGACCCGATCCACATACGCAAAAGGTCAGCCATTTAGTTTCTGTACACATGCGCAGAAGGCCATTCTGATTATTTAGTACTTTTTTTCGTTTATAGATCACTTTTTTGAAGAGTAAAACAAAACATTCACCAAAATACAGTAAAATACTTTCAAGTCATTATTCAGAGTCAAATATAGTTGTTACTCTGAAAAAACTACAGGCAGGAATCATTCGCTCTTTCTGCTGTTTGGAAAGGGTTTTGTATTTGCTTGTGGAATAAGACAAATTCAGTAAAAATTGAACTACACACTTGATTAACTGCACCACTGATAAAACTATAGGTTTATGTGTAAATTCTATTACTCCACCGCCACAGAAGCTTTTGAATATATTATCTAACAATGAGATATGAAACGTAAGTGTTCACAATAGCTTTTGATTGAAATCGTAGTCTATTTTTTGCAATTGAGTATAAATAAACATTCTTAGTGTTTATCGACGATATATCCGCAAAATAATATACATCAAAGCTGATTCAAACAAGAACACAAAAAATGAGATGGAAAAATACTTATACACATTGCAACTGTTTCTTATAAAGTATTTAATACATGTCTATTCATTTTAGGAAAATGCAAGCATATATGTTACAACCCAGACGCAGCCGAGATGGTACTCCTTCAACAACACTTAACAAAAATATTCCAGTCAAGATATGTGATCACAGTAAGAATTTGAGATTATCGTCCATTTCGATTTAACCGTTAAAAACGACTCAAAAACTGTAACCGAATGCTTTTTCTGGGAGGGGATCTGCCTGATAGTTCTTCCCAAATAAAATTTACTGTCCGCCTTTAATTTTGTTAAAATTTCTTCAACTCATCAAATTCTGGGGCAGTCAGAAGCTTCTGAGCTGATAAAATTCAAATTAGTCAAATGTAAAGCGGGTGATTTAGTCGTATGAGGTAGTCGTGCTATTAACTGCAATACACTAGCAATTAAACTAGCACCTGATAAGACCAAAAAATGTGATCTGTTGAGAGGCGTAGCATATGTTTCAGTGAGTCCGACAGCATTTGTCAGTGAAGATGAAAATTACAAGACATTAAGATGAATTTAGAAAATTGAGAGAAAAAGCTGTAATGAATAATACTAAGATCACTCACTGGAGTCAGGAAGTAAACATTGCAAGTTAGTTTTTAGACAGGATGTTACTAAAAATGGAGTCTATCTAAAATTTGTCTTCCAAGTGAGGCTCCAGATACACCTAAATTTTCAATGAAAGATTTAAATTCATATCAACGTTCATTGATTATTGGTACCAATGTTGAAAATGATGATGATTAGTAGAACGAAACTGGTTAATCAAGATAATTACTACATGTCTTTCAGCAATAAGATTTCTTGTTTTTCATATTTTGTTTAAAAATAAAGCTGCGCTTGAGGCAAAAATAAATGCTTGATTACTTACGAAATGAAAAATGTTTTTCGTCTACGTCTAATGATCTATGTGTCTAATATAAATGGTACACGCCACTACCATCATATTGCTACCCCATCCAACTAGTAATTTAATTATTTCTCTTGGCTAAAACAATAGATAAGATTCATTCGATCACTGCTAGATGGACGTGAGAAACTGAATTGAAAGACATCCAAACATTATCTTCACTGCTATTTGTTAAAAGAAACAAATACAGGGTTGCGAGAAATATTTTGCCCGGGGGGTATAACTCCAATGACAAATGATATCAATATTGAATTTTATACCAAATGAAAGCTCGTGAAAAATGGGGTTAACAGGTATAGTTGGTAATGTGATAGATAGTCATTGACTATAGGTTTACTGGAAATTTTAGGATAGGGAAGGAAACACGACTGAGAAAACTTTTTTTCAGAAGATATTATTTGAAATTTATTTGACTTTAAACTGATAGATTTATTAGTTTA